TACTTGTTCGGATGTCGATTCACTTTGCGCACTGATCATTCTGCTCTCATATGGCTAGTAAATCCCGGCAACAAAGGTCAAAAGCCGGTACGCTTGAGTCGCTGGTACTCACGTATATTGAGCTACGATTATGAAATAAAATACGTGCCAGGTTGCTTTAACCAAGTTGCAGATGCCTTGTCGAGACTCCCATTGTCCAACGAAGGGGAAAACGAGGAGTTAGAAGAGGTAAAAAGGATATTGCATCTCTCAAACGGAACGTCTTTTACTAGAACATTTGACCTGATACGAGAGCATAATGACAAGGACCCTATCCTAGCGAAGATTCGGGAATACTTATCCACTTCATGGCCCGGTCGTACAGAGCAGCGAGCAGTCTGTTGTCCATGTAACCCTTATTCCACTAGTGACTGAATGTGCGCATGGAGGTCATCCAGAGGTTGTGCGAACAAAACCTCGGTTTTGACAATACTATTGGTGGACGAAGTTGAATTCTAGCGTCGAGGCGGTTATTCGGAAATGTTACGCCTCCCAATAAATCGATAAGAGTGCGAGGCCACTGAATGCACCCGCCCAACCTACCGTGTACCCAATGAAGCCATGGGCAAAAATGGCCATCGAATTATGGGCCCGTTTGCCAATGCACCTCTGTCGAAGCGAAACGTGTTAGTTGCCGCCTGCTTCTACAGCAAATGGCCAGAGGCTATTCTGTGTGGGAACGTAACTACGGTTGTCACCAAAAAGTGGCCCGTAGCCTAGATGTAACGAGCGTTTCTCGCAATCATGCGGCGCGGGTTCGAATCCGCGTAGGGGTGGGCGTCCTCGCGGTATATTCAGCCCGCGTGCGACTGGTGGTGGTCGCACGGAAGCGAAGCGCCGTTACGATGTATAGATGACACATTTTGTTGTTTGCAAAGTATGTTGTTAGAAGAAATAGTCACTGATAACGGCCCACAGTTTCGAAGTAACGAGTACGCCGAGTTCCTAAGGCACAATGGCATGAGACACTCGAGGACTGTACCTTATAATCCTGCCGCGAAGACTCATCGAACGACCTAATCGTTCTTAGAAAAAATCTCTACAAGTCCTTCGGCTTTAGGGAGAATCCTGGGATGATGCGTTGGTATATGTCTTAGAGGTATACAGAACCACTTCACATACTGAAACAGCAAGCACCCCCTCGGAGCTAATGCTGAGGTGAACAATTCGGACTCGAGTAAATGCAGCCATCACACCCGAAGAGATCGCTGATCAGAGAGAATAGGGACTGTGTACAAGGCTAAGTATAGACGCATTGGGAGAACATATCTCCCAGGGACATTTGTTCGTGTGAGACTACCCCATTCCCGAAAAGGAGGTAATGTGTTCAGACCCCTGACCCATGTGGAATTTGTGTGCACGCCAAGAACTTACAAGTTAGCCGATGCAACAAGGGTGAATGCAAGACGGCTGCATACAGCGCTTTCCCAATGTGCTGTTGAAAAGACCGACACACCTACAACATAGCGCTCGATATAAATTAATACAAACCTACGATGATCCGGTCGGATAAGCCGCACTGTACATCGATATACTCTAACAGCAAGCGCCACATGACACTTCTTCGGGGTGCTGGCATTAAATCAGATTGTACGTGGACGTGTAGTGCTTATGCTTTTTCGACTAGAGGAGAGGACAACGTCGTGTTCCAATACGCTTCTTAGTTCTTGCTATCGATTCCTTTATACCACCCACGCTTCTACTTAAAACTCATTGGCCCAGCCGTGTGCTCTTGCAGCTGATTGGTTGCAGATTTAACGCCTACCTACTTGATTGTAACGCGCGCATATGCAGATAGTATTTCCATATATACCTTCCGTTGCTGCTCTGGTCTGCTGCTTTTTCGGAATACAACAAATATGACGAACCGGCCCACCAATTGTCAGTGATAAATGAGGTTGATGAGCCGAACGCTGACTGGGAACATCACAACTGTGTTATGCCTTTGACGCATGCTGTGCACCCAAGTTGAATGGATTTCGGAAGCATCGATCAGAGTGATCGAAGCAGGAAAAACAGGTGCCGATTGGCACTGAGTTTCAGTGTGTCCGCAACTCTCAGAAACGACGTCTGACAAAGATCTTTGAACCAAGCTTGAACAAGGGCCTGCGAGATGGAGTTAGCGAGACAATAGCTATGAAGGATGAACAGTTGATCTATTTTCAACCTCTTCGACTAGCCTGTTAGACGAAACAATTCAAGGAGCATTTCAGCAGGCTTGCTGCGACACCGCTGCTTACCGAATCGCATGAGGCGACATTGGAAGTAGATATCACATCTTCCACTGTGAAAGTGATTCTACTTGAGCTCGCAGTGTTGAAACCAAACAAATCTCCTGGTCCCGATGACCTTTATCTACATTTGCTAAAAGATGGAGGTGACTTTGTTGATTGCACGCTTCTCTATCTAACACTGAAGAAGTGCCTTCAGACTGGCGAAGGTGCCCATCAACATGGAGAGTGAGCGGACTTTATGGTAAAACAAGCGAGGCATTAGTCTTGTTTCCATTCTCTCCAAACTTCAAACGTGTATCATTCTCCAACGACTTACGAGTGTTCGTGAGAACCGAATCACTGAAAGCCAGGCTGGTTTCCGCACAGAGATCACATTTTTACTCTTCGCCAAATTTCGGTACAGACACACATATACAGACCACCGAGTACGGTGGTTTCCTATGACTTGAAAGCCGCTTTCGACTCTATTGACCGCGCCAGCTTGTGGTACTGCCTACCGATGAAAGGGGTGCCGGGTAAATTGCCTCTTATTAGGCAAGCGCTCCACCGTGACCCCCGAGGCCGTGTAAGGGTCTACAGGGAAGTCCCTTGGTGTGGACCATCCCAAGGCCCCCATCCACGAAGACTGCACGCACCAGTCTGAGTAATTCTCTTAGTCAATTTCTTCATGCCTCTATGCCACGTCATCGACTGGCCACCTCGCGGTTTCGCCCAACTTGGTGCACCCACGGCGTATAATGCACGCCGACGAAGCCCGTCCAGGGATATACGGAGGACAGCCTAGTCAAAGTAAGCAATTAGGATTCAGCAAACACTCGAGTGAGTCACCAGAAGGCTTCGTACCAAAAGCCATTCGCGGACCTCAACAATGCTCACCCAGTGTTCCCACCAGACGTAAGCAATGCTCCACAAGCACCGATGGTCAAACATGGCCAAGCGTTTAAGGTCATCACTGCGAACTGGTCAAGTCTCTGATCTATACAGTGATACTGACCTTATTTAGCATTAAAAACCCTACCTTTCACTGACAAGCTGATATCACGCCGTCTCCATAAACGGTTGAGTCTATGGAAAGCCAACGGGCATCGTTGATATTCATATTAATTTCCCAAGTGATGTGACCACCAGAGGTGACAGCTGCCAAGGTAAATGAACCGATCCACCACATCCAATGGCTGTTCGGTGACAGACAGAACCAGAGATGTCGTTCCAGTCCTACGACAGTACTTCGCACTTTGAAGATACAAAGCACACATCGAAGGGTGCAGCAATATGCGTCAATGAAGGATGAGTTTACAGTTAAATGAACGAGTCCCCTCGTCACAGATGAAGTGGAGGTACTGTATTGCTGGTTGGCTGGTGTTTTGTACACTCAAGTGGGAGATTTGTGCGATGGTGACTTCCATGGGAGTATCCAACACAACGTAGGCTTCCGTATCGACAACGATGAGCGATTGTTACAGTTAGGTGAAGATGCGCATCTACTTCTCACGGGCACTAACTTCGGACTTGGCATTCGCGGCAGAGCGACATGGTGCCCAATAAATATGGATATATATTGATCACGTCGTGACCAGTTTACCTTTGGCGAAGCTAAGTTCATAATTGCTTTTTGGTTGTATCCCATGAGGTACGTGCGAATACGACAAACCACGTGTTAGTCTAGACGGGTTTGCACCCTACTGACAATGGAACCTTAGTACTGAGGAGGGCAGTAGCTGTGACACGCCGATTTTTGAGAATGGACTTTGAGATATTGCGTGTACAACGCGAAGTTTTCGGAAAAAGTTTTGTAACTTGAGGAACCTTCGTCCGGAAAGTTAAATGGCTTCGACACTGTACCGTCAACAATATGCAGATTGGAGACTGCTTATTTCAGTGACACGTGCTCCTAATGTCATTTTCCCAATTGTACAATGGCGTATTTTTAACGATTTTGTTTTAGAACATCCGGAGTAATTGTTGTAAAATGCTGAAAATGCACCCACCCCGGTACATAGTGAATAGAGTTTACGAACATTAACTGTTGCCCATTATGACCAAACTTTGGAAAAGTAGACTATCGATCTCTTTTCAGGCTCCAATGGATAGGACGCTAATATTAAGTTTGCTTGGTCTCTGGCTGTATGATTTGTGTGGTGTTAGAAGCTATAACGGCATTTCAAAAGCGCTATCGCTTAACAGATCCCGAAAATATATGAACCATCGCATCACGGTACGGTCCGGACTCCCAGTTACACTCCTAATGAAACTACTATGGTCCGCAAAATATCTAGCGAATATAGATTTCGAGCAAGTCCATACTTCAATCATAAAAACAGTCGAACAGAACTGCCTATACCGGGAATGCATCTGCTACTCTATGCTTCTTCCGTCGCTGGCTGAGCGACCACTTCGAGCATCGTTGCAACTGGTCAATGATGGCGATTGAGTCAAGGTCGCCATTTTCCTGTTTTCTATGGTAATGGATACTATCACGGTCTCTATAATTACGTGCAACAGGAATTTATGAAGTAGGGAAGATGCGTAGCAGTTCTCTTTGTATGGATAGAAAAGTGAAGGATGTCATATAAACTTTACCCGAAGTACCGGGTGAGGTATTCGAATACAGTTTTCTGCAATGCAGCCCCTATTTACACCGTATCATTTCCCCATCATTCGACACCACAATGTCACAGAGGTTTGGACAACTGAGAAAGTTGATAAAGGGAAAAGTTGTCATAGAAATCACGCAAATGTAGGATCAAATGTGGAAAGACAGGCATTCAGATGGGTCAAATCGGATGCTGAAAGAAACTGAGAATCGGAAGATTCGTGTGGATTTGAGCAGATACTAACATCTTTCTGCGTGTGCCAATCGCCTGACATGTGAAAGCGCTTAGCAGCGGAACATTCCTCGTGTTCATCAGGATTTTGGATGTCACATTGATCATATGTGCACGAAATTTGTTCCAGTGAGCGATCACATGCATTTAAAGGCGACTGTTGGTCACCTTCAGCGTTTGCAAGGAGTATTTTAGTTGACGACACATTAGTCGCACTGCCGTGGGACTCACGCGAGTATGAACCGGTGAGCTCTGTTTGTCCGACACACAGCAATGATGGTGAACCCTCTGCCTTCATCTCGATGAATTCCTTCGCTGGAGCCACGGATTCCAGGCGGTTCAAGCATTCGTGAGAAAATGACTTCAGATATGGATCCGGATGCACGGCCATTGTGTTCCACAAAAGTAACGAGAACGGTTTGAGGCAGGAAGATGGTGTGGCTCGGACAACAACTGCTGCAGCCCGGGATAAGCTTTTCAAAACTGGGATATGCAAAAGAATGTGGGAACTGGGGGAGGCCACTACTTTAGAAGGCGCACCACTGGAGTAGTTGAGTGTTACCTGCTGAATCATACAAATGAGACACAAATGGAGTCGCGCGATTCCCTGGATAGAATCAGCTGAATCATCCTCACGTTTATTGTTAGTGGAAAAACCGCCTGAAAGACGAATGGAGGTGCAGATGGTTGGATTTGAGAATATCTCTGACGTTAGCTCGAGAGCGGCGACCAGAATGCGTTGTTTGATGATATTGTATGAGTCACATCTCGTTTCCGCATCTACATTTCGGCTGGGATCTTTCGGCGTTTCATTACCTATCTGAACATTAAGCACGTACATTGCATCTTGAATTAGCTGGTTTAAGATCCTCGGCAACAAGCTGGTGACGCGATCAGCTGAAAAATCGCAGGCCGAACATAATAACTCACGAAGGCAACCGTATGATGCCAAACGATGACGTACGAGACCTTCGAACATCTGGCCACCATTTTGCCAACATGCAGTCCATTCTAGTTGATAGATTAACAGAGTGAGAATCAATGACGAGGCAGGCATCAATGTGGATCCCACAGTACGGATAACAGCTCCTAAACAATGTAATAACTGGCTAGTGAGAGAAAGAAGTCCGGTGGATGTCTTGTCGGTACTTGATAAATTAGTGCTCAAAATGCCTTCAAACAGAGCCACAATCAAAGGTAAAGGCACATGCAATAGCATATTTAGGCCAAGTTCATATAAATGACGCAGGACACTCACGAAAAAACCGGCTCGTATAAGAACTATTTGTAAATATTCCGGAGAGGGCATTTTATCTCTGCATATGGGAATAAGAGAGACAAAAGGTTTGCTTTTGGACGCTAAGTAAGCTTTCACTGATGAAACATTAGGTAGTGGAATTCCATGAAGTTCAGAGAGCGCATTAAACGACTCACACAAACACAAAAGCAGTCGCATCTGAAACTCCGTGAACCGCTCTGGTTGTCGAGTTCCAGTATCTAATGTGGGCAAAATTGCCAAACATGCCGCTGCCATGTGGAAGACACGACGCGTTTTCGTATTAACAATAGCGAAATGAGGATGTGGTGAAGCTTGTTGAGAACAGGATGTCTCCTTGGGATTGATCATGGAGATCAAGACGGATTCAATTCGGTCATGTTGGCTGACCAAAAATGTAGGCCGTTTGTTGAGAATAGAAAATAGCTTCCTAAAGGAGCCCTCATCTACAGTGTCGAGCAGTCGCATAACGGTTTCCATTTCTTTGTTATCTTTGAAGGCATTGCTCCGTTTGGACATAATTCCAAAAAAGTACTACCTGAAAGTGGTACAAAAACGGAGCGAGTAAGGAGATAAATTTATGGTGATGTAGCAACAGGGTCATCTGAGTAGGTGGGAAGTATGTTTCAATTAGATATCCGTGTGGATCAGCCTAGGCATATCACAATGAAACGGTTAAGAGATGAATAATGCATAAAACCACACAAGATCTCATACGGAATACTTACCGTGAAGGGAAAACGCTCGCTTGCTTGCACTGTCTCCCTTGTAGCCGAGTGACTTATTATCTTTGTAGGAGTCGCCACAAAACCATCGCAGAATGTTGCTTCTTATATGGTCAAAATGCAATAAACTGATTATGATAGCCAACCGCTTTTGAAAAAAGGGGACAGAAGCAACCGACCTTGAGTAGGCGTTTTATGGCTAGCGGGAAGAAGTAATCTTGACATCACTCCAGACGAATGTAATGCTTGCTTATTTTCAGACAGTCACCCCAAGAATGGTGACGCAAATGAGCCTAAGTGAGATCACTTGAAGCTTAGTACGACATCAATTGGTCACCATGCAGCCGTCAGCTGTGTCTACTAAACACTCCGGTTAATCCCAAATTTGGAGGGCGGAGCAGGCCTAATTCACTTGATACCGTGGAGTCCGTAGTGCAGTGTCAGGTGTAAATAGCATTTAGGACTTACACCAGCAGTAAAAGATCAGGAAGCACAGAATTGTATGAATCAAAGCATCCGATTGTTCCGTCATTCATTGTACGCGTAGGCTAGAGGTGGAAAACACTTCATCCACTGTGCCGCAATTGTCCGGAGCCAACTCAGACTGTTCAAAACAACCGGGGTCGTCTGCAGGACCACAACGGGGTAAGACTATTGAGAAGAGATATCCAAGTTGTGTCTCCCAAGACACAAGCATAAGCAGCGTACTCGAACTCACTTGCGTTGAAGAGTAGCTCACACCGGGCCGACAAACCTGGAACCTCATCCAAGTCGTAATAGAACACCCCCTGGTTACTATCACTATTCTACACATTGGCTAAACGTGAGAAATAGCCCAGCTATTGCGCCGCAAAACAAAATGTCGGTTATAAAAAATATCTACAAAAATGTTGTTATCTGCGCTTATTGTGCGCCAGTTATAAGATCGTGGTTGGATAGGGAAGAATTAAGTAACCCTCATAGCAAAAGCCAATTAAGTCAGCTCTTTGTCATATCCGCAAGCGTATTCAAACAAACGTTTTTTATTACACTTAGGACACCAACCTAATCCAAGTCCGGGGTGAGAGCCTTCACTTCCCTTAACCAAGTCGTCAACTGGCTTTCTCTCCATTTTGATTCAGACTCCAGACACAAAATAGTGCACGTCTCTGGAGTCGGTGCTGGCACACGTAACATATGATCAAACCATCGGAGTTAGGTTTGTAAAATAAAAATGAGCAGCAATCCACGCGGGTTCCTGTGCCATTAAAAAGATGCTCATTGTTCACTGTTCCCGCCGCTGGATACAGTAGTGCACATGGCGGAGAAGCCAAGATCAATGTTTTATGTGTTGTAAGTGTATTTGTCCATTTCCCTCTCTTTTAGCTTCTCCCCCTAACAACGAGTTCCAAAGAGCTCATACTATATTTAGAATTATCTTAACTGTTTTTTTAAGTTTTTGTCGTCGATAATGTTTGAGATCTTTTTGTACCGCGGCACAGGCTCAGAACGCATGTACTCCAGTGATCTTCCGTCGAACGTGACTTGGATGTGCCAGTTCAGGATGACCTGGATTGCTCCAGATAATACGAAAACCCTTCGAAAGCTGGTAAACAACATGTCTGTCCTTTACGACGGGCTTTCGGACAAGTAGACATTTATATTCTGACAGATACTGTGTGTATGTCCGACCCCTTGTCGAATCCGAAATTCAGGCTTGGTATCCATGGTTTAAACACGACCTTAATGCACTGGAGCAGCCCCAACGTCAAACCTCCAAATAGGTCATTGGAATGCGCAAGATATCATATGAGCAAAGATTGAAATGTTTGGGAGTATGAAGCGGACGGTATCGCCGATTACCAGGTAATCTCAGAATAGTATAATTGATTCTGCACGACCCGCATTATGTGTGACGCTTCACACTGCAACTCAGCAGTAATAGAAACCTGCGAGGTTACTCACGAATTTTGTCAACAGCGGAGTCAAAATGGAGTGATAACGAAAACCCCGGTAGCACACAGCTAGAGATTAGACGGGATGACAGTCGGCCATCATAAGTCCTCACTCTGATCGAAGAACATATGTAAAGCGGTTTTACTGCTTATGCTTTTTTCATGCTCGCACTTCTCAGTCATATATTCCCAAAAAAGCACATCGATTCAACAAATTTATGACATATTTTATGTCCAGAAACATGACTACGGTTGGTCGCAAACACAAGCGGAGGTGATCCAACAAGTGGCAGCAAATGAAAATGTGGTCAGTGCAACCCGACGCCAATAAAAGCCAGCCTGGTCCTCAAAAATCTGACTTCAAGAGCGTCAGTCAAACTATGACGAAATAAAGATGCAGGTTGTTTAGATGTGATGCAGAACAAACGAACTTCTCTATGACAGCCGCAGTTCGAACCTGAGACCCCGATGCGGAGTTTGCGAAATATGTACGGAGTTCTCCAGAGCTCATTTCAGCTATACTGTCACCAAGTGAATACTCAAAATGCGCAGGTAACAGCTGAGTTCTACTGATTGAAACCACAGTTGCCCAGGAAAGCTGCGCGGACTCCATCTAAGCTCTCTCCATTGACGCCACTGTAGCCACCCTCTCAAGCCACAGTGAATCAACTGAGCTCTCCTCAGGGCACTACCACCATGTGCCGTGGTAACATCCACCTTCCTTCATAGTTTATGTATTACGCTATTATTGAGCATTGAGAAGCATGTTTTACCTATGCCTGAGACTGAACGAAATCTTACCATCTACCATTGCTTCTATTTTTGGCATTGGTGCAGTAAGTAGTGTAAGGTTACGCCCCTCGTCCTCAACCTCACTGCGCGTCTAAAAAGTCTGGCGACAATGTCACTTAAGCATAGCGATCAGAATTCAATTGGTTACTCTGTGCGTGGAGTACTGTGAGACTGGACCTTACCGTGGTGTAATGGTTAGCGTGCCTCAGAGCTATGCTGGATGGTGCAATAGCACTTTCAGAGCCACTCATACCAGATTGAGTCAAAAGCTAAAGGCCAGACAAACTCAGCCTCCTGGTCCTCCAAGTTTAGCGATGGAATGAGAGTGGCTCTGATTCCTTAAAATGGACTCCTTGTATCCCAATACCAAACATGCCGTCATGTTTTTGAACCAAAGACTTTAGTTGAGAACCATAACCGTACTCCTGTCTAGGCCTGCGCAACCTAACCGTATCCTGTCCAAGCAATAATATGAACCATTACTTAGAAAATTTCTTGATGTTCTGGCCGTTGAAGAGGATAATAAACGGTGCCCTATATGCTGCATCGAGCAGGATGGATAGGGGTTTGGATGCTACTGCTTAGGCCTTACCGTATTCTTAATCATCCTCTTACGCTTTTGCACTCTTATCGTCCCGTTCCAACTTCAGTTTTATCCCCCCGCTCTTGGCCCTACCCCACTTTGCTTTGATAGGCATTTATCTTCCAGCTTCAACTCACATGCGAACGCGGAGCATTATTCCTGCCCCGTCGACAAGCCCATGTCCAACGAAGCAGGTAAAGCCCAGTTTATCGGCTTCCATTTGGAGCCCTCGATCCTACCTGACTGGCATGCCTCAAGGTAAGCACATTGTTACAGATCGGTCAACAGGCATCATTTCCCGGAACATAAGAGACCATCTTGATCGATATCTGCTGCTCATCGGAAGACAGCCCGCAAGACCTGAGCTCTGTGATCGCACCGCGATCCCCTTCAAGTGACAGCTGCAGTGCTTTCTCGTTGTGCCTATCCGGAGATGACGCAGTTTCGAGTACCGGTCAAGCCGGTGTTGCTATTGCCCTGAGTTCCCGGGCTGAAGCTGCTTTGGTTGATTTGATCTCAGTCAGTAGCCGGATGTGTGCCGTCCCACTGGCTGGCTCGTTCAACGCTAAGAAGTCGCGCGGCACTAATTAGTGTGTACTTGTCATCGCTGCCTGCGCACCCACAAACTCTAGCGATGATTCGGTTAAGACGACCAACCGACAACTGAACGAGTTCCTTCGCCACGGAAGAAGCACAGACATTGTAGTGCTAGCTGGGCATCTGAACGCTCAATTTGGAAAATTTTCCACTGATGAACTGCATCTGGAAGGCCAACACGGTGTAGGCTCCCGTAATGATAACGGTGAGCGGTTACTCTATTTGTGTGAAGATACTCGTTTATTTCTTGCGAGCACTCACTTCCGACAAAGCACTCGCCGGAAGGTGACATGGTACTCATCAGCCTTGGACGCAAGTCGATTACATTGCAATCAGTTTCCGCTGGAGTGGCTGCGTCTAAAACTCGCTCGATTTGGAGCACTTGTATGGACACCGACCATGCACTTGTATGTGCTGATCTGCGCCTACGACGACCCTGTAGGCACATTGACACCACCCAATTGGCGAAGCCAGCTATTCTGAATGCGTATCAAAGAACGCTGAGTTGCGGGTTGAATAAGCGCTCACTGAATGCAGTTCGTTGGTTAAAGATTAGACAAACTCAGTCTCCTGGTCCTCCCGGTTGGGAGTTTGAAATGGGATGGCGTCCACTTATGTAAAACCAAATCATTGACATCTCCCAGCTGCCTTGTGGACAGGCTTTTGAGCCAAAGCTTTTGGTTGAGGACCCTAATCGTCCCCTGTCTATGTCTAGGCACCCTGGCAGTATCTCAGCTTACATACAACCATGACTATTTTCTTAAACGTTAATTACATCTTGCATCAGCCGTCGCGCAGCTCATCAAGGGTCGCCTTATCGGATGCATACAGAAGGGCGAATAAGCGTAAACATGCTACTGCTGGCGCCTCCCTTCCTTCTTTTCTACT